TGGACGTATCTTGATGTAGAGGATGTCGTATTTAGGCGTGTCTTGATGTAGAGGATGTCGTATTTAGGCGTGTCTTGATGTAGAGGATGTCGTATTTAGGCGTGTCTTGATGTAGAGGATGTCGTATTTAGGCGTGTCTTGATGTAGAGGGATGTCGTATTTAGGCGTGTCTTGATGTAGAGGATGTCGTATTTAGACGTATCTTGATGTAGAGGATGTCGTATTTAGGTGTATCTTGATGTAGAGGATGTCGTATTTAGGCGTGTCTTGATGTAGAGGATGTCGTATTAAGGCGTGTCTTGATGTAGAGGATGTCGTATTTAGACGTATCTTGATGTAGAGGATGTCGTATTTAGACGTATCTTGATGTAGAGGATGTCGTATTTAGGCGTGTCTTGATGTTGAGGATGTCGTATTTAGGCGTGTCTTGATGTAGAGGATGTCGTATTTAGACGTCTCTTGATGTAGAGGATGTCGTATTTAGGTGTATCTTGATGTAGAGGATGTCGTATTTAGGCGTGTCTTGATGTAGAGGATGTCGTATTTAGACGTATCTTGATGTAGAGGATGTCGTATTTAGGTGTATCTTGATGTAGAGGATGTCGTATTTAGGCGTGTCTTGATGTAGAGGATGTCGTATTTAGGCGTGTCTTGATGTAGAGGATGTCGTATTTAGGCGTGTCTTGATGTAGAGGATGTCGTATTTAGGCGTGTCTTGATGTAGAGGATGTCGTATTTAGGCGTGTCTTGATGTAGAGGATGTCGTATTTAGGCGTGTGTCTTGATGTAGAGGATGTCGTATTTAGACGTATCTTGATGTAGAGGATGTCGTATTTAGGTGTATCTTGATGTAGAGGATGTCGTATTTAGGCGTGTCTTGATGTAGATGATGTCGTATTTAGACGTGTGTCTTGATGTAGAGGATGTCGTATTTAGACGTCTCTTGATGTAGAGGATGTCGTATTTAGACGTATCTTGATGTAGAGGATGTCGTATTTAGGCGTGTCTTGATGTAGAGGATGTCGTATTTAGGCGTGTCTTGATGTAGAGGATGTCGTATTTAGACGTATCTTGATGTAGAGGATGTCGTATTTAGGTGTATCTTGATGTAGAGGATGTCGTATTTAGGTGTATCTTGATGTAGAGGATGTCGTATTTAGGCGTGTCTTGATGTAGAGGATGTCGTATTTAGGCGTGTCTTGATGTAGAGGATGTCGTATTTAGGCGTGTCTTGATGTAGAGGATGTCGTATTTAGGCGTGTCTTGATGTAGAGGATGTCGTATTTAGGCGTGTCTTGATGTAGAGGATGTCGTATTTAGGCGTGTCTTGATGTAGAGGATGTCGTATTTAGGCGTGTCTTGATGTAGAGGGATGTCGTATTTAGGCGTGTCTTGATGTAGATGATGTCGTATTTAGGCGTATCTTGATGTAGAGGATGTCGGCGTTTCTTGGGGCGAGGTGAAATTGGGTTTAACGTCGTGCTTGAGGTATTTCGCTCATATGACGACGTGCATGTATGTGTATGTGCGGCTGCTTGTACTAGCCCAGACTTAAGCTGGTTTTATAGTGCTAGCCCACTGAGATACCATGCCGCAGTGAAGCATGAATACCCCACTCAGACACATTATACTGACTCCGAGCCGACCAGTCCTTGTTGTACCCAGTAATGCCGAGAGCGCCAGGCAGGGACCAACAAGTACCATATTTTAACGTCTTTTGGTATGACGCGGTCGGGGAACGAACACGCGACCTTCCGCTCTCCAGGCGGACGCTCTAACCACTACACCACGGAGGAGGTCGGCGTTTCTTGAGGTAGAGGATGTCGTATTTAGCCGATGAAGAGGATGTCGTATTTGGCGTTTCTTGATGTAGCGGATGTAGAGGGCGCCGTGTTGATGAGCGACATCGGGAAGAGTTAATAACCACGTTCCCACCATGATACCATTATGTTCGTGATGATTAATTTCTATACAATCGCTTATGAAAACCATTTAGCTGATATCATCAGAAAGATAACATCCTTATTTTTCATGATCTCTGCAGCATCCTTGTTGGACAGCCTGTACATTATATAGTTTACTTTAATCAGTTGTCAGGGGAAAGGGAAACTTTACCTTCAGTGATGTATTTGTCGCCACACCTCCTCTCCAGACAGCTTGTAATGTTAACGAATATACGATCTCCACCTTTCACGAGTTTCTCGAGGGCACCCATCACTTCATCGCTCATGTTCCTGCCCCATGGAAAAGTAGGACCACGCCTTTGAAATCTCGAGCAAAACACATCACCTACAAAACATTTCCCCGGAACTGTAGTTCACACTTGATACGTAGACGACACCCACGTAACAAAACCTACTGCCAGTACTGACATTTATGTACTCGCGTCTACTAAGTTCCTAAAGATCTGAACGTAACTGAAAATTACATGTCAAAGTTTAGCTTTCAGTCCTTCAAGAAAGAATGAGCAAGTTAACCTTTAACGTCACATCGGCAATTTGTTAGCCATATCGTAACGAGAACAAAGTTTGACGTTGTTAAAGAATATGTGCATATTATAAAACATGTCATCAAAGAACAGTAAAGTTACTAGATTATCAGTTAGAATTAAACTAGCATGTAAAGTTAAAACTAATAGCAGTATTTGGACAATACACAATATAAAAACACGGGCCATAGATAGCGAACAACTATAGGTAGATCACCATACCAGACCCTATATCAGGGGGCCAGAAACGGTGGGTGCTGTTTAAACGTCGCGTGGACGACGACTATACACAACCCATTGACATGTTGCACATCGACGTGAAGCTGGTTCCCGGGGCTAACTGGTAGTATCATCAGAAGTGACCTGTCTTTAACGGGTTCGAAGCCGGGGCGCTTTTAAGCCCGATTTGACCCGATTTACGGCAGTATTTCACGTTGCAGGTGCTTGTTATGTTTCGTACATCGACCACGGGTTTTCGTTGTTACTATGTATCGAAAGCCCTGTGTCTTGGCTTTCACGTCATGTGCTGAAATAGGTGATACAAACTGTAGGGGACCATGGGGACTAACAGTACCTTTGCTACCTGTATGGACCCTAGCTGGATTTACACCATCCCTTCAGCCGCTGGTGATTGTAGCCAAATTTAGCCACAAATAAAATGACAATAATGCTACGATTTATGTGGTAGATCAACATTTACTTTGAATGTTTTGGACGTACCTATCCTCTGAGGACAATTTTACGGTACTTCAACCTCACTTGAGGATACCGCCACAAGATGTTTAAGGTACCAGTAGCCAGTAGAGATACTGAAATGTTTAGCAGGGATGAAAAGACAGAAATACAAAATAGAAGAAAACTCCCTTTTCCCACCCATAGTATTTGTAAATTTCTTTTGGCTCCTTTTAGCAGTTGCTAATTTAACCTACCTCAAGGAAGACGTTGACAGTTAAAACAGTTTGACTTTTCAAAACTGAGATCACAACAGCAGATTTTGAACACAAAATTAATGAGTAATGGTCAACAAAAAAGAATGTTGGAAACATTTTGTGTGTCAGCCATTTTGTAGATTGGGTTCGAACCCCTTTGTGAAACTGGGCTGTTATACTTTCGCACATTCTCACACACTGACCATATCTGCTGACATCCCCGGATACAACAACAGCATACCGACGTCAGCCTTGTCGCACACCGGTAGAACATCCAGGTCTTCGGTGACTGGGTTCCGTCTCACCAGGTTCTCCTTCACTGCAAGGGAGTAGGAAGATGGCAGTTGCTGGCTCGTCGCGGTGGGAAGCAAGTGAGTGGTGGTGGGAATATAATAATGACTTCTTCCAGAATGGCACAGATCAGTAACACCAACATTTAACACAGAATTAGCAATTTGACTATACGATGTATCACAACGAAAACTCTTGAAATAGGAAATCAAGCATGTGTCAAAAGCTGTTCACCTTATCGGTTAGAGGTTAGAGGGAGGGTTACAGATTAAAGGGGTTGGTTTCCTTTCTGGGTTTCGCCAATGGAGGTAGACCCTAGTTGGAAACGGATACATTGACATTGTCTCTATAGTCTGTTTGCAGTGAAAACGTACCAGTGAATTTCACTTTAAACAAAATGTAAATCGAATAAAGTGAAATTAAGATTGCGAATCCTGAGTGAGCGAGTGAGTTGTTTTACGCAGCTTCTAGCAATATTCCAGCAATATCACGGCGAGGACAACCATAAATAAGGCTCACACATTGTACCCGTGTGGGGAATCGAACCCGGGTCTTCGGTGTGACGAGCGAACGTTTTAACCACTATGCTACCCCACTGAGATATTAAGGATATTACTTAAATGTTAACTCCAATGATGGCTCTCTTCCGGAAGAAACCGTTTCCAGTTTTGAAGAAACCTACCCGAGATGTTCACGTCCAGTGTGCCTTCAACCACGTCGACTGTCGCTAGGGGACATGTTGGGGAAATGAAGGCGTCGAAGTTGACGGAGTCCAACTTGGTGGTCCTGTTGGCTCGGAAGACCGTCTTATTGAAGCACAGCATTACCTGGAAGTCCAAAACATCGACCACATGTCATCCTTCACTGATACTTGCAATACCAAACCTCAATACTGCATGTAATCTCAGGACAGAGTCCTTGAATGTATACAAAACTACTACTTTTGGTGACTTTGGGATTAGAATCGCAGATCCTTCTACAAATATGCCGGTATTGTTTGGACAATTTCACACAAGACCACCTAGGTAAATAATATTTATCACAGCCATTTATTTCAGCGTGACGTCATAAATAGTGATCAATTCATAAATTAACATTTACATGTCCATATTTATATATGATTACCCTTTTCACTCGTTCACCTGACACACGTGCTACAGACGTCTTGATGAATTAAACTCAAAACACATCAACCCGGCGAGAGTTTCACCACGGTGTAGCAGCTAGGGGCAACCATTGTCGTACCTCAGGGACCTTGTGAGTCGCCATGATGAGGGAACACAACAGATTGTTCAGAAGCCGTAAACTGTTGACGAGAGTTTACCACGGTGTAGCAGATTAGGGGCAACCATTGTCGTACCTCGGGACCTTGTGAGTCGCCATGATGAGAACACAGCAGATTCTGTTGACGAGTAGAAGATTGGGATCTGTAGAGATATGGAATTCATAGTATTATATGGATGGTTATCAACATGAATCAGCTGTTCGGGTATCTTATGGAGGCTGTTGAGATGACATACAGAGGCTGTTCAGATTGTGTGTTGAAACCATTAACATGTCATAAAGACACAGTTCAGATACCATACAGACACTATTCAGATACCATAAAGACACTATTCAGATACCATACAGACTACCATACAGACGTCTCCAGACGTCATGTAGACTGTTTAAATGCTAAACATCATTTCAAACAACTGTATGTATGTATGAAAACAATTCGTTTCGATGATGTAATTCGGGCGATTGTCAATCAGAAGCATGGGATTGTTGCAATTGTAGCACCAGTTTGTGGAAGACGTTAAAGTCACGCTTTTTAAGACCTACTTTGGATTTGAACGAATATTACATTGCTTTGAAAGCACACATTTCCGCTAATAACTCAAGCAATATAACTGACAACAGCATGCCATGTGTAGCATATACTTCAATTATTGGTGGAGGGTACAGTGGCTCTTTAATCTTATTTCATATCACGACACATGTCAGTTTATTATGAGAGGAAAATTAATCAGCAATCAGAGCACTAGCCCCATGGGCACTGGTTGATAAATCAAGATATTAATCGGGGCTATTCTGGGATTCGAACCCATCACCAGCGGATCCTGAAATTTGTTATAGAGGTATATACTGATCCTCTTGTATCTCACTCTGGCGGTTGGATGTTTCCGTCTGCAAACATACCATGGCCCCCGTGAAGATGACAGGCTTGTTGAGGTGCTGCAGCATGAACGACAACGCGGAGCCGACATACGCCATAGCGTCTGTCCCCATGATTATAACAAAGCCGGTGTATACAGCGTAGTGGTCCTGAAACAATCATCAGGTACATTCCACCCAACTTGAACGTTTATGCACCTTTAGCAAACGACTACCATTATTACTGACAATTTCATTCGACTCATACATGTAACGTAAATGAAAACGATAAAACGTTCTTTAATCCGTTGTTCGGTTCCGAATGTATCATAAATAATGATATTTGTTTATGGGTCGCTATCAAATAGTGATGATACCTCAGTGGTGTTCTCGAAAAGGTGAGCATACCATTCGTTTCCAGTCAGCGGCATAAGTACATACAGAGGGAAGTCACACGTTCACCTGACACACAAGTACATACAGAGGGAAGTCATACGATCACCTTACACACAAGGTACACCCTGTACACCTCCACACACCTCAATACACCTCCACACACCTCAACACACCACACTCGCGCGCACATACATCCACACACAAGCCTCAACACACTCACTTCCACACACATCCACACACACACAAACCTCCGCACGCAAACCTCCACACGCACACACACAAACCTCCGCACACACACACAAACTGCATGATGGGAAAGAACGTATTGAAGTTACTTGTATTTTTCCTAGCGATCTGTTGCCAGTGACCGTGGTCCATGTTGGAGGAAAACAAAGGGTGCCAGGGAAGTCTTCAACGTCGTAGGCAATGTGCCGAGTCTCTCCATTTATCCTCAGTCCTCTGCACAAACAAAACGAAGCGAGATCGCCAACGTTAACGTTCACCACGTCAGCGACTATAAACACGTCATTTCAAACGACGCTGCCGAAAAAGGTATGCATGTACGTGTGTGTGCGCGCACATGCGTGCGTACGTGCCAGGAGTGTGTGTGAGCGTGCGTGCCTGGTGTGTGTAGTTGTGCATGCGAGCCTGGGTGTGTGCGAGACTGCGTGCGTGCCTGGCGTATGTGTATATGTGCGTGCGTGTCTGTGTGCGTGTGTGTGTGCGTGAGTGCGTGTGTGCCTCGCTTACTGTATTATACTTACGGCGTGACGAGTCGCCGAACTTGTTCATCCGTCTTGTGGGATGATTCCCTGTTGTCATGGAATAAGGATCCTCCTAATGATTGCCAGTACCCTGTCAGGACGCCAGGGTGGCATGAATCTGTTGAGAAACAACATTCGGTGGGGAGCTACGTAAGAAGCTAATTGACAACCTTTTATCCGAAGGTGGGTTCCAAGAATTCCGGATTTCTAATTTTCAGTTTGCAATTACTACACATTCTTATGATTTCACTGAAATGTTCAGCGACTGTCATGTACATAATTTGGGTATCTCCTCCACATACATGTTATGATATAAGTGAAATAGGTTTCAAACCCAGTCCTCTTTACAAAACAAATGACCACAATCTTTGTGTGATACGGTCCATCTCATGTTAGTCCGCATGGTTATTTGAGATTTGACCACGTGCTAATGCTAAAAATTATCTTTCGCTCAACAGAAATTATCAAAGTTGCATGTTGGAGACTAGGGTTGCATTAAAACAGATTCATATCCGATCCATTGGTAATAAAAGTGCATGCTGCACCTGTACTCCATACATCCGGGATGACTGAAATGTTTTAAGCAAAAGATTATCTTATTAACTTATAGAAGCAATCTTGCTACCATAGACATGCCGCCGTAATATAGCTGGAATACTGCTGAGTGCGGCGCAAAACTAAACTCACTCACCATAGACAGGGGCCTTCTCTGTGAGAGGAATGTAGGAAATAGAAAATATACAATAAAAAAGGAATAATGTTGAAAACGGCGTTAAGAAGGTTCGTTCCCTCGCTTACAATATGGTTCCCTGTCCTTTTATCGGTGGTGCTAGCACATGTGTATCCAGGTATGTATTGTCACGCGTGACATGTCTGTCACATGTTCGTCTTCCAGGACAAGTCCAGGGAACTACAACAGGGACTGAGAATCACACAGCAGTGTTCGTGTCTCTGCATGTCTTATCAGGGCCCTTTTGTTGATTTCAAAGGGAATCCCTTTGCTAGCAATTTCACGTTGTAACAACGTTAAGCTTTCGTCCGTTCAACGGTATTCTGTTGACTCCTATTTACGTTGTTACAACGTTGTGACCCTGACGTTGCACAGTGACGTGATATTAACGTTGTGAAAACATGTGTGTGTTGGCTGGTATATTGCATTTATTAAGAGCTGTCGATAATATTTTAAGAACACGAAGCTTACACCTCGACGAGTTCGTAAGTTAATGCGTAACTCCGTAGTCTGCAGAACATCGCGGTCCCTGCACATAGACGAGTATTGGCCCAAACCAGTGGTTAACACCAAGAACATCGTACACACAATGTCACACAATCAAACCACCAGATCCTCTTTAATTGACCTTAGGGCGAGTGAGTTTAGTTTACGCACGCCGCGGCTCGGCAATATTCCAGCTTATATGGCGGCGGTCTAATTAATCAAATCTGGACCAAACAATCCAGTGATCAACAGCATGCAGGCATCGATCTGCGCAATTGGGAACCGATGACTGGTGTCAACCAACTCGGCGAGAGCCTGACCAACCGATCCTCTATTAACCTGAGAGGGCTGGAAGTGACAGCATGGTACCCTGGGGACCATTCTGCCACGGAATCTTTACATGGGTAGTACACGAGTATTTCATTTATTCTGCATGACGAGTACCCCACGTAATATATACTGAAGATCATAGATGAACATCACAAAACTCAAAGATGCCTGGATGGGGAAAACGCACTAAAATTCCAAATCTGGGCTTCTGCGGTATGAGATAATGAAAACAATGATATATTTGAAGAGACTAAACTATTACATGTATTTCAAGCCAAGATTTTCTTGTGCTCATGAAGTTCTTTACACATACTAATCATGCTGGAGAAAAAATATGAAAAATATCCAACCTCTCGTTTGTCTCAACCTTGCCAAAAGTTCCCCTGTGTAGAGTGACAAGCACTCTTGATGTAGCCGTCATCTCGCCAGGAAGACAGGTACGCAAGGCGATCGGACACTGCGGTTCTTGATAAAAATTCTGTATGTCAGTGTCAAGGGTTACTCGTAGCTCCACCTGGAACAGGTAGACAGCAGATAAAATGTCACAGGGAAACAGTTACGCAAGATCTCAGCATTAAAATGTAAGCGCACTGCGAATGTGGTAGGGTGTGGCTAAAATGATCGATAACCGGAAATATTGTCGATAGGAAACAATATTAATGATTATCGATATTAAAATTGTGTTATTATATAAATTTAATCACAACTTTGAAATATTGACGTTTCTTGACTGATAATTAAGTCAAGCATTTTCATGCTGTTGAGGCTTGGAATTTATCCCAATACAAGTCAGTGGTATTGGATATATTGAGCAGAGTCGTCAGACACTCTAAACTTTAAACTAAGATGTTCACATCCACAAAGAGACAAACGAGAGGTGGTATAGACTTACACCGCCCAAGTGAGACCACGGGGAGACAAGCGATGGGTGAAATAGACCTACCCTGCCCAGGTGACACAAAGGGAAGACACGCGACGGTGCTATGGCGAGGGATGCTATAGACCTACCCTGCCCAGGTGACACGAAGGGAAGACACGCGAAGGGTGGTGGTATAGCGAGGGATGCTATAGGACCTACTCTGCACAGGTGACACGAAGGGGAAGACACGCGAGGGGTGGTATAGACCTACCCTGCCCCTGGTGACACGAAGGGAAGACACGCGAGGGGTGGTATAGGAGGGATGCTATAGACCTACCTGCCCAGGTGACACGAGAAGGGAAGACAAGCGAGGGGGCGCTATAGCGAGGGATGCTATAGACCTACCCTGCCCAGGTGACACGAAGGGAAGACACGCTGAGGGGCGCTACAGCGAGATGCTATAGACCTACCCCTGCCCAGATGACCCCACGCGGGGAGACAAGCAAGGGTGGTATAGACCTACCCAGCCCAGATGACACGAAGGAAAGGCAAAGACGCGAGGGGTGGTACAGCGAGGGGTGCTTTTAGACCTACCCTGCCCAGGTGACACGAAGGGGAGACAAGCGAGGGGTGCTATAGACCCTATAGTAGTGAACAACGTTACCCTGGCGTCTTTTTCAAGATGGCGGCGCCCATAGGGCTGGCCATCTTGGATCCAGTCACTTCCGGTCAGGGGAGATCACTCGGGTTCCGGTTCCGGTGCTTCCGGTTCCGGTGGACGCGCACGCATCGCGATGACGTCACGTCCGGTTCCGGTGGTTGCGCGCGCATGACGATGACGTCACCTCCGGGCCAAGATGGCGGACGCGTTTCAAGATGGCGTCCCATCCGGTGGGATCGCGTGAGATCTCGCGGGATCTCGTGGAGTCTCGCGGGATCTCGCGAGCGTAGACGCGTTTCAAGATGGCGGAACGGACGAGCGGCGGACGGGACGGGACGGAGAGGGAAGGGGAAGGAGAGGAAGGTGGAGAGAGAGGGAGGGAGGGAGGGAGAGTGGCGTGGACGATGGCGTGCGTGCGGTGACGATGATGTAGTCCTAAAGTGTGTTTATTGTGGTACCAGCCTCAAAGATACTTATATTTACCGGTTGACGCATGGATGCAAGTGTGTAGTGAAACGAATGCTGGGCATTCACCCATGCCAATGCAGGTGCCAGCTGTGGTCCCCGTGAGTGAGGTACACACCACAAAACGGTCCTTTTCAGGGCCACCCATCTCTCTCAAAAGAATGGTACAATCAATGCAAACAACAATAATAACAACGATAGACTGGCATTTTTGTCAAACGTTTATTTCCCCCCGCTAACAAGAACACTTTGACAAAAGAGGCAGGATTAGGGGCGTCCCTGATCTTTTGTTTACAAACGGTATGAACTGTAACATTATAATTGTAACATATCACAATATATTCACCCTAATGATCTTAGCCACGTTGTGATTTCATGGTATTTACTATTAAATGGTTCAAGTGGCTGCAACACAATGCCCAGTAACGGTACGTACTCACACATGTTGTTTTCATTCAAAGGGGCTTTCCTGTCCACCATACTCTTGGTCCATTTGTTTTACGGGGAATTGTTTGCACTCCTTCGTAACCCCGTGTCACGATCGTGACTATCACTAAAGGCGATCCCGAGATTTAACTGTGAAGAGTGGGCATAAGACCATTCTTTTGAAAGTGACAGTCCCATGGCAAATGGCTACCGCTGTTGTGTTTACGTTAGACATTGCATAACTGTGACGTCATCGATGACTTCACAGCTCATGTGGAATTCCCAGAACTGAGTATTTTCCGAGAACTGCTCATTCTCATTTCTTTAAGGATGTTCGCTGGTCACGTTTTGAACTTCTGCGCAACTCAAACAGACGTATTCGGCAAAGATTAACGACAACCACAATAAATAATACTCACTAATAATTTTATCCTGATTGAGTCTATAGGTGTAATTATGGAGGCAATGGACTCTTTACATCGCATTAAATATAATAAACACTTACAAAATCGAAATGTAATGGATTTATGTCACGACTGCTGCAAAGCAAAATATCACTTCCGGTAGCGTTGTTTGTAACGGTCGTCGCTATTTTACACCCTCTCAGATGACATGGTGCGGGACTGACTTTATCGACTTGTACACCCTGGTTGCATCTCGCGTATTACTCAAAGTGACTGTCATTGTAGGTGCGCGCCGAAAATACATGTGCGCCAGCGGAGGACCGTATGTAAACAACGGAAGAGACAAGCATCCATACATTAAATGTGGCAGGTATTTCATAGGTAATCTGGAAAGAATAGTGAAACGGCAGTCCTATATAAATATCATTGTGCGCGCTGGGTGACAGCATGTATTTTGACAGTTTTCGGCGATTTTTCAGAATATTTTGGTAGAGATGGAAAGGTAGTCTGCGTATGAAATGTAGACGGACATCTCAGCATTTCAGAAAAAAATACAGTGAGTGTTAGTTCAACGCCTATGCGGTGATGCGGCCGCTGTTTCCAACACACCTACGCGCACATTCGACCAGGGCAGTCCTATATAAATATCATTGTGCGCGCTGGGGTGACATGTATTTTGACAGTTTTCGGCGATTTTTCAGAATATTTTGGTAAGAGATGGAAAGGTATAGTCTCTTATGAAATGTAGACGGACATCTCAGCACGCTGTTTCCAACACACCTACGCGCACGGCAGGCCTATATAAATATCATTGTGAACGCTGGGGTGACATGACTCCACGCTGGGGTGACATGTATTTTGACAGTTTTCGGCGATTTTTTAGAATAGTTTGGTAAGAGATGGAAAGGTATAGTCTGCGTATGAAATGTAGACGGACATCTCAGCATTTCAGAAAAAAATACAGTGAGTGTTAGTTCAACGCCTATGCGGTGATGCGGCCGCTGTTTCCAACACACCTACGCGCACATTCGACCACGGCAGTCCTATATAAATATCATTGTGCGCGCTGGGGTGACATGTATTTTGACAGTTTTCGGCGATTTTTCAGAATATTTTGGTAAGAGATGGAAGGTATAGTCTCTTATGAAATGTAGACGGACATCTCAGCATTTCAGAAAAAAATACAGTGAGTCTTAGTTCAAGGCCTATGCGGTGATGCGGCCGCTGTTTCCAACACACCTACGCGCACGGCAGGCCTATATAAATATCATTGTGAACGCTGGGGTGACATGACTCCACGCTGGGGTGACATGTATTTTGACAGTTTTCGGCGATTTTTAGAATAGTTTGGTAAGAGATGGAAGGTATAGTCTGCGTATGAAATGTAGACGGACATCTCAGCATTTCAGAAAAAAATACAGTGAGTGTTAGTTCAACGCCTATGCGGTGATGCGGCCGCTGTTTCCAACACACCTACGCGCACATTCGACCACGGCAGTCCTATATAAATATCATTGTGCGCGCTGGGGTGACATGTATTTTGACAGTTTTCGGCGATTTTTCAGAATATTTTGGTAAGAGATGGAAAGGTATAGTCTCTTATGAAATGTAGACGGACATCTCAGCATTTCAGAAAAAAATACAGTGAGTCTTAGTTCAAGGCCTATGCGGTGATGCGGCCGCTGTTTCCAACACACCTACGCGCACGGCAGGCCTATATAAATATCATTGTGAACGCTGGGGTGACATGACTCCACGCTGGGGTGACATGTATTTTGACAGTTTTCGGCGATTTTTAGAATAGTTTGGTAAGAGATGGAAGGTATAGTCTGCGTATGAAATGTAGACGGACATCTCAGCATTTCAGAAAAAAATACAGTGAGTGTTAGTTCAACGCCTATGCGGTGATGCGGCCGCTGTTTCCAACACACCTACGCGCACATTCGACCACGGCAGTCCTATATAAATATCATTGTGCGCGCTGGGGTGACATGTATTTTGACAGTTTTCGGCGATTTTTCAGAATATTTTGGTAAGAGATGGAAAGGTATAGTCTCTTATGAAATGTAGACGGACATCTCAGCATTTCAGAAAAATACAGTGAGTCTTAGTTCAAGGCCTATGCGGTGATGCGGCCGCTGTTTCCAACACACCTACGCGCTCGGCAGGCCTATATAAATATCATTGTGAACGCTGGGGTGACATGACTCCACGCTGGGGTGACATGTATTTTGACAGTTTTCGGCGATTTTTTAGAATAGTTTGGTAAGACATGGAAAGGTATAGTCTGCGTATGAAATGTAGACGGACATCTCAGCATTTCAGAAAAAAATACAGTGAGTGTTAGTTCAACGCCTATGCGGTGATGCGGCCGCTGTTTCCAACACACCTACGCGCACATTCGACCACGGCAGTCCTATATAAATATCATTGTGCGCGCTGGGGTGACATGTATTTTGACAGTTTTCGGCGATTTTTCAGAATATTTTGGTAAGAGATGGAAAGGTATAGTCTCTTATGAAATGTAGACGGACATCTCAGCATTTCAGAAAAAAATACAGTGAGTCTTAGTTCAAGGCCTATGCGGTGATGCGGCCGCTGTTTCCAACACACCTACGCGCACGGCAGGCCTATATAAATATCATTGTGAACGCTGGGGTGACATGACTCCACGCTGGGGTGACATGTATTTTGACAGTTTTCGGCGATTTTTTAGAATA